GAGCTTATTAATAATAAATACTGCCTTTACCCTACTTTACATGTCTATCTATTCTTTACGTGTATGAGATTATATAACTCTTTCATATTTATGGTTGGCCGATGGCAACGATCAAAAATTTAGGCAAATTACTCAAATTGTTACTAATGAAATCGTGGCCGTCCATTAAGCGAAACATGTTTCTGGGCTAATTTTACCATCGCACAGGCCCAAACTTTAAAATTTTATTTTATTTTTGCAATTAAAAAAATTAAAAAGTAAATTCCGGCCAAAATTATGTATAATGCGGGCCAGAATTTTGTTGATCACAGCCGTTGGCCAATCAAAATCGAGGATCAACTGCGGCACCTATGAATCCCGCGCGTCACGCGCGGGATTTTTGCGATTTGCCCATCACTATATCTGAGATATCAATTTATCTGTTATTGAATCTATTCTTTCCGAAATCACAAAATTAACCGAATCAGCCGAAAAATCGTTCGGCCAATTTTTTACAGGTGTCCCAGGAATTATGATAATAACTGTAAAAAATAAAAATTTTGGATTCCCGCTCTGCTGACCCGGCCGGGCTATGAGAACCGATTATATAAGTTTATGTGGTCTTGTATTATATATTGTAGATTCTTTAATGAGTGCGGGTTTTTTAGTAATAAATTTAAATTTGTCTCACTTTACGTGTACTATCTGTTCTCTAAATATATGTGATTAATTCGTTTGCTGTATTTATTAGTTGGTAAATTTCTTTATAGTAGTATTTAATCGTCCATTTTTTTAAAAAATTATGTAATTTGATTGGTTAGTCATCACGGGAAATCACAGGTCGATCGACCAAAATTAACCAATCAGACGAATTACAAAATAACAACTACCGATCGACATCCCACCTTGTTTTCTAATTTTTTTTTAACTTTTACGTGTTAGAAATTTTTTCGTGTTTTTTTTTTTTTTTTTTTTTTTTTTTTTTTATATTTTGTGAATATACAAAAAGAAATTCGATACACAAAAACTTTAAATAGAAAAGTAAGTATATGATCGATAAATCATAGAATAGTAGTTCACAATAATACTAGTATTTGTACCTGTTAGATACGTCTAACAGGGTTTGGAGTTATATTTACTCTTGCAAATACTAGAAGAAAATTTGTTAAATAAATTGTGCTGAAAAGGTAACTGATAATGCGGTGGGAGGAGAAGGGATCAGTTACATATATTTTTCGGCCAAAAGGTTCTACTGAATTCTGAAAGAGAAATTTGGTTATGTACCTTTGTTTATATAACAAAACTTCTTTGTTAATGTATTTTTGCATCTACTATCTTATGTTGATGCTTATTGCGAAATATAAATCATTTCTTATTCGATTTTACTCTTATATAGATTAATACTATAAAGGCTTATCGGTATTTTATACTTTTAAATAAAATGAAATTAAATAATAAATGTTCATGAATTATTTATTTTATACGAATAATAGTACTTTATATATATATATATAATTTATGAATTTGAATCAATGAATAATTTTTATACCTGTCTTGAATTAATATGAATAGTTTATACTCGTTTTGGATTAGCGTGATAGATTAAAATCAAATACGTAGCAAATGCAATTTGAATCAATTATTTTAAATACGTAGAACAATAAATGTTTTTATATATATTTAAACTAGCAGTTGCATGTGCGAGTGGTTTCGCCATCAGGTTTTGTGATTAAGAAGTGATATATAATGATAATTCTAGGCTGGTTTGAATATATTATCCCTTATACCGTTTACAGACAAATTTGTTTACAACTTTCTAAACTGGTACTAATTATAAGGTAATAATCAAAAACTATATTCAATGTACAATATATCCATGGAGTTATTATCCCGCAAAATACAGTATGAAATTTTAATGTACGTACATAGCATTGCTTGTCAGAAAGACTTTTAGTCTAATAAAGCTCAACTTCTAAAATAGAATCAATTCGGACTGAACGTTTAACAACATTGTAAGAGAGCATTAAAGCTGTAACTTTATTGGGCAAGATAATGTAAAAACTATAAAATGCACATGAAAACTAATGCGAATTTTTCTTACAAAAACAGGACCATGTTAGCTTATGTAAAATGAAACATAAAATACGGGAGCTTCCGGGTTATTATTTATTATTTGCAAATAACCAACTAAACTGACTTAGTCATATCAAAATTTAAATTTTTAACCGACTACAATCACTACTTCAATTTATTCTTATCCATCAGTGCACGTTCCTTTTGCATCCTACCCTTCTCTATTTGAGCTTCTTTTTGATTTATATCCCATAGTCTGCTTTTATAAAATCTCAAATTATTAGTCCAACGTTCTTCAGTATGATCAGGCAATTTACCCGCAGCTTTGTCCAAAGCCACTCCGTAGGCATTAATTATAGTACGCAGAAAATCTTTGTCATCAATTTCGAATGGTAGTTTTGGAGCACCTTGCTTTGTACCAATGGTTACAAGTGACTTAGGATTATTCAATCCAATTTGATCAATCTTGTTTAATATCCATCGAACTTCTTTTGTCATACGAATAGGGTCCGATTCAAGTGTCATCTCAAGTATCTTCGTTAGTGCAGTAGCTTTGGGGACAACTTTGTGTTTAATAATTATGCCAAAAATCTCTTTAATTGACTCTAAATTTTGTGAGTTTCTACAAGCTACCATGAGTAAATCAAATGTTATTGACTTCGGTTCAATACCCAAATCAAGAGCTTGTTTAAAAGCAGCAATGGCATTATCATATTGTTCAGACTTATTATAAAGTGAAATCAGACTATTAAAGTTTTCAATGTCTAGCTGGATATTTGGGAATAAAACTTTTGCATTGTGAAAAAGTTTAATACCTAAATTGATTTTTTGAGATTTGAAACACAATCCCATCATAAGATCTAATGACTTTGATGTCATTTGCAAATTATAAGGTCGAGCTTTTATCACATTGTCCCCAATTCCATAAACGTCTTTAAGCATTTGGAATCCTCTGTCAATCTGATCAGAGTTTCTAAAGACAAGAAGCATAGCGCAAACGAGTTCATCATCAATAGCATCCTCCTCTGTACGAACGCCCGGTTTTTTAAGATGTTCAATTGCTTTTGGAAACACTTTATTCCATATATCTAATGCTAAAGGAAAAGCTAGATTTGGATATTTAATGCAATTTCTCGCACAAGCCCTTAGAACAATTGTGTGTGTTTCCCTATTAGCTGTTAATGCACCATGTGACCCAGGATGAAAAAGTGTGTCATAATTATTTACCAATGCCTGGAATTAGTGTTACAAGTTGTCAAAAATTTGGCAATCGATTAGTTGGTTAATTATTTTTCTAGATGATAAACTAGTTACAACTAATCGATTAATTTATTAGTTGCAACTAATTAATTAATTAATCAATTAGTTGTAACTAATCGATTAATTTTTAAATGGATTAATTGTAACTAATCAATTAATCAATTAATCTTAGTTTGTGTTTATTGCGATTTACAAAATCATAAAAAAAAAAAACTTTTGATTTTGTTAGATGATTTTTAATTTTCTGATTACTTATGTAATGTTTACAATAACATAATCTAAGACAATAAATACATAAGGAAATAAGAAATCAAAAATAAATTTTTTTTTTCTTTTAATAATCGCAAATTTCACAAAATTTTTGTAAATCGCAATAAGTTCAACCGATTAGTTGCCAACTAATCAACTAATCGATTTTTTCAATTTTCGATTTGTAGCACTACCTGGAATTCATTTGCATTAAAACAAACTTTCAATAGAGCATTTGCATGTTCAGTCTTGAGCTGAAATTCCGATCTACGACGACCTGCTCTCCTGATACTGTCCACAATTGCCCTGGCATGAAAAACATTATCAGGCAAGGCACGATATTCTGCAAGACCATTTAGTAATAACATGTATGTATTCATGCTGGGTTGTAATGCAAACCGTTTCATCTATTAATGTTAGCCAAATTTGGTTATTTAATATAAAATAAAGTTAACGGACAATTTCAAATTGTCATTTTACCTCGTTTAATAGTCTTATACCTAATTTTACTCTGCCTTTATTGACACATTCAAAAATCAATTCATTCCATGTAGTTTCAGACTCAGAATTTATCTCTGATTCTAAAATTAGTTGAACTGCTTGTTCTAATTGTTCTTCTTTGGCAAGTCTAATAATTTGTTCTTTTGAATTAAGTTTTTCAGGTTTAAATTCCTCCGGTTTGGTAATATAATTGTTATGCGAAATTTTTTCGGTGTAGTGACGAAAGACAGAGCCTAAAGGCGGCGAAAGACGAAAGACGAAACCTTGACGAAATCTCAAATTCCTCTGCTGAAAGATGAAACTTAAAATCGGAAATGCCGAAGGGCGAAACCTGGAGAAACCTTCATGAAAGTTAAAACTAGATGAGATTTAAAAAATCGGAGCGAAAGACTGGACTATAATTAGTAAGTCATTTCCATAATATCAGTGCCCTTACCTTTCATGGATTTCTTTACTATGTATTTACTGTTACAACGTTGTTATTGTTTTGACGCTTGATTGCCTCATAAGGTAAAGTAGGGTATTCTGGCGCACCTAAGCTGCGTTGCCAATTAAATTTTTACAAATCAATATTTATTTTTA